CTTCTGTGTTCCACGGATTGATAATTATACTGCCGTTGAGACTCTGGGCGGCGCCAGCGAATTCTGACAGAACAAGCACACCATGTCGTTTTTGTTGAGACGCTATATACTCGTATGCCACCAAGTTCATGCCATCTCGGGTCGAAGAGACGATGCAGGCATCGGAAACCGCATACAGAGCAATCAGCTCATCAAAGTTGACTGATTTGTGCAGGAAATGAATGGGCATGAATTCAACCGTTCCTATATCCGCCAGTCAGATATTGATGCCCAAGATGTGATGATGGCTGCTGAGCACCCACCGAATTTACCGTTAATCCGCCCAACCAATTCATTCACAACCGCTCTCAAATTTTGATACTCCTCAACGTCTTGTCTACTGGGCACTGCGACTTGTACCAGCACGACTTTGCCCACCCATTCCGGATGATCACTGAGGAAGACTTCGAGAGCGTGCAGCTTCTGGGGAACTCCCTTGATATAATCGAGACGATCAACACCCACCATGAGCTTCACGCCCTGGAATTTCTGCTCGAGCTGTGCTATCCGTTTCTGGACTTTTTCTTTTTTGAGACCTTCCTGAAACTTCTCTGGGTCAATTCCAATTGGAAAAGCACCGCAAGCGATGACTTTGCCCTGAAACTCTATTCCATTAGGAGTGGTCGCCAAACCCCTGAAGATATGTTAGCTGCTTCAAGTGTCAATCAACACCAAATGCGGCTTTAAGCATACAGTAATCGCGAGCATGCGCTCAGGAAATGTCTCGTATAATCATATGTGTGGAACCCAATGAGATCGCAGTGAAGCACACCAAGCAACAGCTCGTTGCGAACGGGAAGGATTCTGTAGATTTCGCTGCTAGGGAAGGGAGTATGGAGGAAGAATCCGATCTTGACGTTTTCCTTGCTATCTCCAATCTCCTCGCGGAGCATTTCAGGAAGAAGCATGAGGTGATAATCATGAACCCAGATCAGGTCTCCATCTTTGACTTCTTTCGCAACGGCTTTGGCAAAAAGGCGGTTCGCTTCCTTGTATGCCTCCCAGGCTGATTCGTCAAATGTAATTTCGCCCGGATGGTAATGGAAAAGTGGCCACAGGATGGAATCTAGACAATAAAAGAGGCTGTCAGTAGTCTATTCTGACTGCGCACTGCAAGCCTAAACCCGCCTACTTCAACAATGCGTGAGAGATGGTGAACTAACTGGAGAATCCATTGTAGTGCCGATCTGCGAGTTCATCATCAATGAATACCGGAATCGCTCCATATTCGTCCTTAAGACGTTGTTTGACAACAGGGATTTCCTCTTCGGGAACCTCCAATCCGGGCCAGCCGTACCATTGGAAGGTTGTAGACTTCGACAGGCCGCTAAGACCGCTGACCAGCCCGCCCGAGGACATGGAGAAGTCATACTTGCCATCCTCCGAGCGCTTTATAGTAATGGGGAGCCGATTGGAGACGAGAAGCAATCTCGCCTCGTTCTGGGTGGAGTTCTCGAGTGACGGCATAGCGTATCAGAGTATGTGGCTGCGGGATATCAGGCAGGCACAATCGAGAATATCTGATCGGTCCCGCGACAGATTGTAATTGAAGTTTATCCCAATCGGAAACCTTTTTAGAGACAGAACGCGACTCTAAAGAGAAGAAAGGCAAGTCAAGACAGGTTGACGTCTAACGGAGCGTAGGAGTATGCCGAGAATAAGGTGGGGACGATCTTAAGAGCAATCCCGACAGTGAGGGGAATGAAGGGCGCCGATAAGAGCGCAGGGAGGCCGACAATCTCGGTGGCCAATGCTGTATAAATGTAGCCCTCTCTGGTTGTAGCCTTGATCCTCAGGTAGTTCACTCACGCCTTGAACGAAGTTTCTGTTGGACGCTACTGTCTCTCAGACAGGAGGAAGAAACAAGCTGGAGGTTGGCGGGGAAGAGTGACCTCAGAGCCCAGCAAACAGCCAAACGCGCGGACCAACGGACCCAGATTTGGGCAAAAAGACTGATGGGGGGCAAGAAAGCGGCCTGCTCTTCAATAACGAGTTCATCGACTGCGAGATTCGGATGGGATATATGATATCAGGGCCAGCTCGTTGAGACCGGAAGGGAGAGAAACATAAAAATACTGGTTTGATCCTCCTCAATACATGTATATGGTTTGATACGAAATAGTGATATTAATAACAACAATAGGCAGTGAGATCCAGATAGAGGGGTAACCGGTTAAAACCAGTTTAGTTTAGATAAGTGATAGGTAACAATAACAATGACAAGCAGGTTCTCCAGGTCTGTCAATTCGCTTGCAGAGAGGTAACTTACAGTACATTATTGTAACCTAAGGTTTGTGGCAATGTGCCCAGCCTAAGGAAAGTGAAGTCAGAGTCTGACTAACTGGAATGTTGCCTTGGACTTCCCGGCCAGTCAAGGAAGAAGCCGTCGATGATGCCAACACTTCCAAGAAAAAAATGATAACGGCATCAGGTTTCCCTTAACCAAAGAAAGAAACAAATCCCGCGCTACAGTCCATTTTTTCCCGTCCATATGTCGCATCCTTTATGTACAATTTTCCTTCATGGGTCTACCACCAGTCGTCTGGTATCGTGGGTTGATGACGGGCTGGCGGCGTAATCATAACTCCTGCAGGTTTACTATCAATGGTATTTATATGAGTGAAGTAGGCGCCCAACAGGTGGCGTTTTTGGGAGTCCAATCTCTTAATTTGGGTTCACATGGCCTGGCAGCTGTTGCAACATTAACCTAACCTCTTCTTGAAATTCTTGCATAGTCGATTTTGGGATCAGACCGGAAGCACTTTCACTGGTTGGAAGCATTGTCTGTCACCTTAAGCTACTACTAGACACCATGTATATGTCACGATATTAATCGCGCACACAGCAAGGTGTGAGACGGATTTGAAATCAAGCATCCGCTGCGAGGCAGTAGTAGTAGTAGTAGTAGTAATATGTCGCCATCCTATCATCAATCGATTCACAATGCCGACTTTCCATTGTCTATGCTCCATTTCCCCGTCTCTGTGTCATGGACTACCTTTCCTTCAGCCTCCAATTTCATCAGCACCTGCAAGACACCATGCGAAGCAGGCAAGTGAAGACTTTCGGGAACATTTCGGTAGATAACTTTGACTAGTTCAAGGGGAGTCCATGAAGCCTTGCGTTCTGGAGAAGGTTCATTATCTGGGACGTCAAGCTTTCCATACCGTAACACCCGAATTACTTCTTCCTCTCGCTGCTGCCGATGGTTGATGTACTCGGTGATCTTCGTAGTTGCATTCTCTATCACTGCACCGTGGCCTGGATATCCGCGGCCTGAGACCCGATTCGACATTCGCTGCAGACTGGACAAGTATACTTTGAGATCTTCAAATACTGCTGTGCCGTGACCCAGCACGTCTAAAAGCAAAAGTGGGAAAAAGGGTCAGCCGCAACGGTGACTACATAGAACCGCCACCTAGTGCAGAATAAGACTCACTATCACCAGTGATAATGGCGTCCTCCTCTTCAAGAACGAACATCATATGGTCCACAGTATGGCCTGGCGTATGGTACGCCTTCAATGTAGCGCCTTCAACGCTGAAGACTTGGCCATCTTCAATATCAACCTGTCCTTCATCTGGTTGGTGCTTGTAAACCGTCACTTGTGGACAAATCTTGAGGAGATCGGGAACACCATTGACATGATCGTGGTGCCAGTGTGTCAGGAGTGCTTTGTCGACTGTCGCATTCTCCTTAGCTAGCACACTTTTGAGATGGTTTGCCCAGGACGGTTTGCCCTCGCCGGTGTCGATGAGTATCCGCTGGTGGCCCCGTCCGATTAGATATGTGTTGGTCCCTATGATATCCGGCATGAGATGCCTGCTTCGTTTTCGGAACTTTGTGTAAGCCACTCACCTTGCAGAGTGAACTATAAGATCGATCGCATATTAGCTTCGAACCGGGTCATTGATTTGTATCTGCTTCTGCGCGAAAACTTAATATTCAAGAATGCACTCACCTTCCCTGGATTTCCTCCAAGTATCCGGACTACTGAAGCGCTGAGCCTTTCCACTTCAGAGAGCGGGACAAGTTGTGTAGCCATGGTTTAGGTAGGAAGTGATGTTAATGATGGTTGATATATGCGGAGTTTGCTTGCGAAGTTGTTGGGTTTCACAAAGGCGCTTACAAACTGTGTTTCTTTCTATCGGATCGCCCGTCGAGATTTCAGGAATAGCCAGAGGGTAGCCATACAAATTAGACGCAACTATAATGGTCTGTGGTCTACAATTTGTTAATCGCCATTTCCGAAATTAGGCAGGTTCCCTTTGCTTAAGCCAAAGGATGGAGTATGAGAGTGGTAACTTAGTAGCCGAGGTAGTGTTCGTTGCGGGGTGCTAAGCTGTCGTCAGGGACGCTAGTGAATTTCTGTGGGTTTCTGTGTATTGCCTGTATAGCTTCCAATTGCTCCAGCCTGAAGTCGATAAAATATCTGAGGCATTTGCAAATAGGATGGACTCTCCCCAAGGACTTCGCACATGGGAAGCAGTCTCGCCTTTCCACATTATATGAGTTAACCAGACAGGGCAAACTGCTACTGGAAGATATGAATCACGAAAATCTGGCCTTGAACATAACAAGAAATGACTTTGGTATGCGTGCGATCCCTAACATACAATGACTGTGTGCAAAAAAAAGGAAGCCTATATCCATAGAGCCCACCCAAACTCAGGATGGTAGAGAACAACAAGGAAAACTTCGGTGGTAACGAAGAAACACAAATCGTTAAAATTTTCAAAACACCGTTTTTACCATCATGAACCGTGAAAAGCAGGCCCAAAGGCCGCTGTCCACTCCCCAAACATTGCGAACTCGAGTCAAGTGCAGGATACATAGCACTAAACTCAGACGCTCAAAACGATGTTCCCAGTGATCGCTAGGAACACTCAAGACATAATTTACAAACCTTCGACACCATAATGCGGAGGATTTAGACTTCAAGCGGACTGCCGCAACTAAATTTATTTGGTGCCGGACTTGCGGGCCATGGTGTTGAGGGCAGAGCCATCCTTGAACCACTCGATCTGAGACTCGTTGAAGGTGTGGTTCAGGGAAACGTCGAAGGGAGCGCTGCCATCCTTGGGGTGAACACGGAGAGTCATGGGCTTGCCAACCTCGAGCTCGGTGCAAAGGAGGTCGACGGTGTCCTCAGGGTTGATCTTGTCATAATCGGCGGGGTCAGCGAAGGTGAGAGGAAGCATACCCTGCTTCTTCAGGTTGGTTTCGTGCTGTGAAAAGAGAGTTAGCCTTATAGTGCAAGTGCAAAATGAGGAACCTGAAAGACTTACGATACGGGCAAAGCTGCGGGTGATGATGGCGAGACCACCAAGATGTCTGGGCTCCAGAGCGGCGTGCTCACGGGAGCTTCCCTCACCGTAGTTCCAGTCACCAATGACAACCCACTTAACTCCACGAGCCTTGTAGTCACGAGCGGTAGCAGGGACAGCATCGTACTCGCCAGTGAACTTGTTCTTGACAGAGTTGGCCTTGCCGTTCTCAGCGTTGACAGCACCAATCAGCATGTTGTTGGAGATGTTGTCAAGGTGGCCACGGTACTTCAACCATGGGCCAGCCATGGAGATGTGATCGGTGGTGGTCTTGCCCTGGCACTTGATGAGGATAGGGATGCCGGTGGCGTCCTTGCCATCCCAGGGCTCGAATCCAGCAAGGAGCTGCAGACGGTCACTGGTGGGAGAGACAGCGACGTTGACGGAGGCGCGGTCGGCGGGAGGAGCCTGGTAGGTGTCACGGCCGGGGTCGTAGCCCTTGGCGGGGAGACCCTCTCCAGTAGGAGGCTGCAGCAGGAACTCCTTGCCGTCCTTGTCCTTCAGCTTGTCAGTGAGGGGGTTGAACTTGAGGGTACCGGCAACGGTCATGGCGACGACAAGGTCGGGAGAAGCGACGAAGGCGTGGGTAGCAGGGTTGGCGTCGTTACGGCCAGTGAAGTTACGGTTGTAGGAGGAGATGATGGAGTTAGGCTCGCCCTTCTTGACGTCCTTGCGGTCCCACTGTCCGATGCAAGGGCCGCAGGCGTTGGCAAGGATGACACCACCGAACTCCTCCAGAGTCTGGAGCTGGCCATCGCGCTCAATAGTGGCGCGGATCTGCTCAGAACCGGGGGTAACAGTGAAGAGGGACTTGGCCTTCAGGCCATGGTTAAGAGCGTCACGGGCGATCGAGGCGGCACGTGACATGTCCTCATAGGAGGAGTTGGTGCAAGAACCGATCAGACCGACCTTGAGCTCCTCAGGCCACTTGTTGGTCTCAACAGCCTCCTTGAACTTAGAGATGGGGGTAGCAAGATCAGGAGTAAAGGGACCGTTGATGTGAGGCTCAAGCTCAGAGAGGTTGATCTCGATCAGCTGGTCGTACTCGGCGCCCTCGTCCTCACGCAGCTCCTTGGCGTACTCGCGAGAGAAGTCACCAATGTGCTGACGCTTGGTGGCCTTCAGGTAATCGTACATGCGGTCGTTGAAGGGGAACATGGATGTGGTAGCACCAATTTCAGCACCCATGTTACAGATGGTACCCATACCAGTGCAAGAGAGAGTTTTAACACCAGGTCCGTGGTATTCAATGATAGCACCAGTACCACCCTTGACGGTAAGGAGGCCGGCAACCTTCAGGATGATATCCTTGGGAGTGGTCCAGCCGGACATCTCACCGGTAAGCTTAACACCAATGACCTTGGGAGCCTTCAACTCCCAGGGAAGACCAGCCATGACATCGACAGCATCAGCACCACCGACACCGATAGCAGCCATAGCAAGACCACCAGCGTTGGGGGTGTGAGAGTCAGTACCGATCATCAGACCACCAGGGAAAGCGTAGTTCTCCAGGACGATCTGGTGAATGATACCGGAGCCGGGCTTCCAGAAACCGATGTTGTACTTGGCGGTGGCACTAGCCAGGAAATCATAAACTTCCTTGTTGATCTCGTTGGCACGAGCAAGATCCTTGTCACCTCCAACCTGGGCCTCGATCAAGTGGTCACAGTGGACGGTAGTAGGAGTAGCGACAGAGGGCATGCCAGCAGACATGAACTGCAGAATGGCCATCTGAGCGGTGGCATCCTGGCAAGCGACACGGTCGGGGCGGAGCTTCAGGTAGGACTTGCCACGCTCAATCTCCTGTCCGTGAGGGTCGTCAAGGTGAGAGTAGAGAACCTTCTCGGCGTATGTGAGAGGACGCTGCAAGCGACGACGGACAATGTCCAGGTTCTCAGACATCTTCCTGAAAAATTGACGAACATGTTAGTAACTCAGTGATTAATGCTGGTTTCCAGACCCTCCGCATGAGCGGATTGTTTTGGGCTCAGTGCAAAGGGCGTTTGTAGCATACTTGTAGTTGATGTAGTTACCCTGGCGGATACGTTAGCGGATCCTGTTCCCGTAACGAGCTAAACAGCAGCGCTGGACTGGCCGAACAAGACCACTCACCTTCTCAGTGTTGGCCATCTCGACCTTCTTGTCGAGAGGGGAGTCACCGACGGTAGCGAAGGCCCGGGTCCCGAGGAACTGCACAAAAGATCAGTCAGTACATCTGCACTGTTGGTCAAGTGGCCATGACAACGGCTTCTGAGTTGCTCGCTGGAGAACAGCGCGGCGAGCTGAGATCATGGGATTCTTACAAGTCGGGACTTGGGGGCCTGTGAGGTACCATGTCAGCTTCTGGAGAATTCATATTTTGGTGGCTCGACCCAGCCTTCAATCATCGCACATGAATGCAGACGCCTGAAGGATGAGCTACGAGCTAGAGTTCACTCACCAGCGCACCGGCGCGCGCAAGCCTTGTGGAGATCATCATGGAAGCTCTCTATGTGAGTTGGGCAATGCCGCAATACATCCAACGAGAGCCAATCCAAGCAGCAGCAACAACAAGCAGCTGCAGTAAAGAATGGAGTGGAGTGGGAAAGTAAGTAAGAAAAAGAGTTAAGGATCAAAGGGAGATGGAGCAGATAAAAAGGAAGCTTGGTGTGGGAAAGAATTCTTGATGAACCGGAGAAGAGGACCCGTAACCGCTCGTGACAGTACGGCCATACGTTTTCGGTACAATCGGCGCCCTGCTTGCGACCGGAGACAAGGAAAAATGGCTGGAAGCCCGCCCTCCACCATTATTCTACTAAAGCTCACCACACACCAATGATCTTGATTACAATTGGAGAATTTCTCTTGGCCTTATGACCGGAGGCCTCAAAAATTGTTCCACAGGCTCATCAGCTGTGTTTGAAAAGGGTCCATCATTAATGGCCTTGCAATGCTGCTGCCAGCCCTAAGGAGTACCTAGCACCCCCATGTCCAACTTCATTACAGAAAACGGTATGGAGATGTAATGGGGTTTACACCTAAGCGGCCTGATGCCCGTGCTTCCACTCTGGGGCATGTGAGACGGAAATAGCGCTGGGCCAATCATGTGGCAACAATTATCTATCGTCACTCTGATTCTGTACTGAGGTAACTCGGCAGTGGTCCACTGGCTTCAATTGTAGAAGATGCCTGAATTCCATGACGCTACAGCTCATCCAGGTCAAAATGATTACTTGGTCCTCTCCACGTTGAAGAATAGTACAGAGAGTCCTATTGATCAAGGACAACGATCTTGACAGGTGTCCACGAGTGATACCTCCTGAAGGTGGCTGTTATGGGTCTACGATCATTACTTTACCTGAATCGCAACTGGACGATCCTAGGACGGAGCAACATGCCGAAAAGAATGAAAACGTCATAAATTACGGAACGTGGAAAGATGTTGTAATGACTCTATGGGGGTATGCAGTTGAAACCGAGTCTGAGCCGAGGCCTACCGAGGGGGTATCCCGCGGGCCGGTGCCAAGCCCAACCAGAACTCACGCCAATCAAAAGCGAGTACTGCGAGAAAATCCCTCTTTATGGACAGAGGCGGAAATTTCGAGACAGTTGACCCGCTTCCAAAGGCCTAAAACTTTTTGCATCGTTCCGTATATCGGTGATAACGATTTGTGACCATCTTGTGAATAGTGTCCAGACTACACTAGGTCTACAGATATTCAAGATGGGAGCTTTGAGGAAGATCAAAACAAAGCGCAGAACAAGGTATGATATACAGGGACACACTCATCGCGTTCGTCGGTACACTTGAAGAACCGATAGCTCTAACATCATTCGTCTCTGTAGGGACTACGATCAGGTCCGAGCGGACATTGATTCTCCCAGGCACCTTACGCAGTATAAAGCCACCAAGGACGCGGAGGATCTTCCAGGTCTGGGAAAGCACTATTGCGTTGAATGTTCGAAATGGTTTGAGAGCGAATACAACCTGGTCGCCCATACCAAGGGCAAAAACCACAAAAGAAGGTCGGTAATCGTAAACGGCGCGAACGCCTTCTTGGACCGATCACAACTGACTGAGGGATGCTTGGACAGATTGCGGATGCTGCGTGAGGAGCCTCATTCACAGAAAATCGCAGAGGCTGCTGTCGGTCTGGGTACCGACAGTGGGTTGCGACAGCAGGAAACGGTCGTTGATATGGAGGACTAGACAGCCCATAGCCTAACGGTCATCCTCCACAAAGAACAACCTTCGATAGACACACTATCTTCGACCCTGTGTCCAGGCTGCAAACTCGGCAACAAACTCTGCACGACTGGATTACACCTTCAGGTTATTGTCGCTTGAAGTGAAGGCAACAGCGAAGCTCTTTCGTCCAATCAGCAACTAGGCTAGTCTGAACCGCTCATGAAACCACATGTTCCGAACTTCGCCAGTTATTGGCGATTCCAAAACCGAGCAAACCAATTCCGGTTTGCGGTGACCTTCAAATCGCCGATTTTCGGCCCTCTACTAGCATTGGCCCACATTTACTTGGGTCTTACAGAGTATTATGATAAATTATTTACTAGCTGCAATAAATACCAGATACAGCAATATAGTCTACAAGTTGGATCTTAAACACAACAAATGTGCCTTCTAATATATACTTTCAGTAACTCCAGCAACACAGCTCTGTGTCTGATCGCACGGACGGTTTAGATATTTCATGAGCCATTCGTATGTTGCCCACTGTTGCGCATGATTAGCAAATGCCACTTGGTGATGATGACACTGTTGAGGACACATACCTGGACAGCGTTCACTATGAAAGCTCTCAAGCTACAAATTCCCAGGCCTCGATAAAAGGCTTTTAACCCTTCGGATCGATACGCGGCTTTGGCGATCTGGTAGGAGTTCAGCATGTGTGGGTTGCTCTGTAAATGTATCAGTGGGCGGGACTCGGGTGCTGTTGCAATTGTCTGCGCTTGCAGTCTCGTCTTAATCATATCCAGCGGGTAGACAGAAGCCCATGTGGTCACTCCAGCAATGCCTCCGCAAAGAAGTACTTTTAGAGCAGTTTCATGTGGGTTATCATTTTCGGAGGCCATAAGACGTTTGCAGTACTCGTAAGACCAGAAACTGTGGGTGGCATAGGTAAATAAACGTCTGACTAGAACTGGCGGGGAAAGATCTGGGGGAAGCATTGTGCATACTAAAATCCGTAGCCAATCGAGTCTCTGGCGCAAGTAATCACTCCTCCGAAGTAGAGACCCGTCAATCCTCGGGTCCGAAAGATGTCCTTGGCGACTGTCCACGAAGAGATCCCAGGGCGGGGGTCAAGTTGCGCTCGGCATTTGATGAACTCTGTGGGAGATGAGACCGTCCAGCTGGCCACTCCGCCAGCAGCACCAGCAAGCCAGATTTTGTAAAGCGAAACGCCGAAAGGGTTTGTGGGATCCTTTACCGAATCATCCATAAACATCAATGAACGATTGTAGGCGACAAATAGAAGCGCATTAAGCGCTCCATATCCCAGTATGGGAGCAGCAGCACCTACAGAATACCTATGTCAGTGCTTATGTCAGGTTCCTACATCGTGAGAGGGCCAACCAACCTCGCGCAAGGGAGCTCACATTCTCAAAGGAGACTATGTTCCGGCTTGTTGATCCAGCTGCATCAGCCCCGCCAGCTTGTAATCGAACTTTGACAACATCTAGAGGGTTGCCGATTATGATTCCAATGGCCCCACTGAGGTATCCCGCCCAAAAGTCCGACGACATTGAGAACAATTTCTCAAGGTCGAGAGCTTGAGCAGTGGCTACCTACATCGTTGCCTTGGATTAATCTTACCATGGCTAATGGTGGCGGGGTCGGCTACAATATCTGCACGTGATTGCGTGCTACTTTGGTGTTCAGTCAAACGGCGGAGACGCGCCAAGTATTACGGACAACGCGTCGAGCGGCAATCACCACATCGAGCAACCTTGATTGATGACCGCAGACAGCGACAGCGCAACCCAAGAAGCCACTCGAAAACCTGATCTTCTATAGGGGAAGCCATCGATGTCAGTACCTCCTTGGCTCTTTACGTCCCGGTGAGCTTCACTGACATAAAATAGGTATCGCCCGCGACCAGCCGTAGGAATCGAAGGTGGAAACACCCCGTTATCCAAGCCACTACGGAAAAGCGTATCATCCAACTCGTTAGACCGTCTTTCAAAGCCCTTTAAATGTCCGGGAACTGCCACCCCTACGCGAACTTCAGATAAGCCTGCGAGAAAACGAAGAAAAGTCAACTATGCGGGAGCAGATGGAGAGGTGGAGGACAACACCGTCAAGCCATGGACCAACGAAGAACGTCTTGCTCTTGCGACGAGAGACGCGAATAAATTCCCCGTCTTCAGAGTCAAGGACAAAGAAACCACTTTCAAGCAAAGATTTCGGATCCCTTTGATCAATAAGTCCTCTGATGAATATAATCCTTCGAGACCAGCTCCCACTTTGGGAATGAGGCAAGGTGCCACTTTTGTTGTTAAACCACTACATGATCCCAGTGGAGAATTTGCGATAGTTCTATATGATCCGACCGTCGACAATATTGATGAGCCACCGGAATCGAAGCCCGAAGACAAGGATACCCAGGAAACTAAAGCCAAGCTGGATGAGCCGCTGATGCACAAGAGCCTAGCAGATATACTCGGGCTGAAGAAAAAAGTTGAATCTCGTCCTAAGGTTCCAGTGGTCATAGATCCCAGACTGGCGAAAGTTCTGAGGCCGCATCAAGTGGAAGGTGTAAAGGTAATGATCCTCTCTACATCCACGCGAACACGGATCCCAGAAACTGACCCGTCTTTTCCGCAAGTTTCTTTATCGCTGTACAACCGGTATGATAGATAAAAATGCGAATGGTTGCATTATGGCCGATGGTATGGGATTGGGGAAGACTGTATGTCGCACCTTCTTTCGGTATATGGATCAAGCCTAACATTGACAGCTTCAATGCATTTCCCTGATGTGGACACTTCTGAAGCAATCACCAGAAGCAGGAAAGACGACAATTCAGAAATGTATTATTGCTTGTCCCTCCAGTCTGGTTGGAAATTGGGCCAACGAACTCGGTAAGTCAGAAGCCCCTTGCGTCATTCGCTTATATTAATATGGGTAGTGAAATGGCTGGGAAAGGATGCAATAACGCCATTCGCGATAGACGGCAAAGCCTCGAAGGCGGAACTCACCTCCCAAATAAAGCAATGGGCAATCGCATCCGGGCGGGCCGTAGTCAGGCCTGTTCTCATAGTTTCTTACGAAACTCTTCGAATGTATGTCGATGCATTAAAAGACAGTCCAATTGGGCTTCTTTTGTGCGATGAAGGCCATCGACTCAAGAACAAAGACAGTTTAACATGGACTGCTTTGAACAGTCTGAATGTGACTCGCCGTGTGATTTTGTCTGGTACCCCCATTCAGAATGATCTCTCGGAGTATTTCGCTCTGCTTCATTTTGCCAACCCCAATCTGCTGGGCTCGCAAAACGAGTTTCGAAAGAGATTCGAAATACCTATTCTAAAAGGACGAGACGCCGCAGGAACAGAGGAAGATCGGAAGAAAGGCGACGAGCGCTTGGCAGAGTTGTCAGGTATTGTGAACAAATTCATCATTCGCCGGACGAACGATATTTTGTCGAAGTATCTACCGATCAAATACGAGCATGTTGTCTTCTGCAATCTTTCCCGATTTCAACTTGATCTCTACAACCATTTCATTCAAAGCCCCGAGATCAAGAGCTTACTTAGGGGAAAGGGAAGTCAACCTCTCAAGGCCATTGGAATATTGAAAAAGCTATGCAATCATCCGGATTTACTAGATCTCACTAGAGATCTTCCAGGTTGCGAACACACGTTTCCCGATGACTATGTTCCACCTGAAGCTAGAGGTCGAGACAGAGATGTCAGATCTTGGTACTCGGGAAAGATGATGGTTCTTGATCGTATGCTGGCTCGTATCCGTCAGGATACCAATGACAAGATTGTTCTCATCAGCAATTATACCCAAACTCTCGACTTGTTCGAGAAACTCTGCCGATCGAGAGGCTATGGCTCGTTGAGGCTGGACGGTACTATGAACATCAACAAGCGGCAAAAGCTCGTCGACAAATTCAACAATCCAGACGGTGAGGAATTCGTGTTCCTTCTAAGCAGCAAGGCCGGAGGCTGTGGATTAAATCTGATCGGCGCAAACCGCCTTGTGCTGTTCGATCCAGATTGGAATCCTGCTGCAGACCAGCAGGCCTTGGCTCGAGTTTGGCGTGACGGACAAAAGAAAGATTGTTTTGTTTATCGTTTCATTGCAACTGGGTCGATTGAGGAAAAGATCTTCCAACGTCAATCCCACAAGCAATCACTCTCGTCATGCGTCGTGGATTCGGCTGAAGACGTTGAGCGACATTTCTCGCTGGAGTCCCTCCGCGAGCTGTTCCAGTTCAAGCCAGAAACGCGAAGTGACACTCATGACACGTTCAAATGTAAGCGATGCAGACCGGACGGAACGCAGCACATTAAGGCTCCAGCCATGTTGTACGGCGACACCAGTTCCTGGAATCATTTTGTGAATGATGGTGAGAAGGGCCAGCTCAGTAAGATCCAAGATCTACTGATACGCCAGGAGACTGGTGAAAAGGATGTGTCCGCCGTCTTCCAATATATTAGTCATTAAGGCCTACTGTCATGCCGATTCTCGCTTGCAGCCTTGACGACCTTCATGTTAAATTTGGAGTTTTGGGGGTCATCTTGATGCCCTGTTATGGTCATCGCGATTAGAGCGATCAGGTACTCAACGTAACTTGGAACACCATAAGTGATAAGACATAGAGATATAGTTGAATACATTTTCCCGCGGATGCATATATAAGTCTTACGTTGAGACTGTACGTCAAGGATTTGTTGTACCGCTACCTCTCTAGACTCGAGCATCTATGGTCGGCGCTAAGGTCTGTCTTTGATGGTTGACAACTACGTCACTTCACGTCCACTAACATACCCCCATCAACTCTGCCAACGCATCTACGCTGAAGTGCTCCCCACATTGCTATCGCAACGGCCAGGAGCGCGTAAGCAGCCGACTTAGCAGTTTCGCCGCCCTATTTGGCTCTGGCCGTGCAGAGGGTGCAGTCTGGTATTGATGGTTTTTCATAGCTACAGGTTGTTGAGCTCAAGTCCCCGATTCACCGCCAAAGTCTAGCCAGAATTCGTCCCTCCACCATGAGCACTATTTAACAGAAAATCGAGAGTCGAGAACTCATCAAATCTATGTTTATTTGAGCTATGGATCATTCGATTCAGCGCCTGCTGAATGACAAGCTCTATGATCGCAGAAAACAGGGAGCTCTAGAGTACGGTTGACCGATTGTCTCCAGGAAAGTCTTTGACCGACAGGACACTGATTAACCATATTCAGGCTCGAGAAAGTCGTTCGCAATGCTGTTTTCCGAGGAGATCATGAAGAGATCCAGAAGATTGTCGATCAGCTTTGTCATGATTACGCCTACGCCGTACATCAGCCGCATGCGAGAAATGGTGGTTTGATCGGGTTAGCTGCGGCTTCAATAGCGCTTGGATCCGTGAGTCTGTTGGATAGGTTGCAATGATATCGCTGGTGCTGAGACTGGACTGAATCAGGAGGGTGTTGCGCCCTATCTAAAGGAGATTGTGCCACCGGTTCTTGCTTGCTTTTCCGACCAAGATGCCAGAGTTCGATACTACGCATGCGAGAGCATGTACAACATTGCGAAAGTCGCAAAGGGGGAGGTCCTTCTTTTTTTCAATGACATATTTGACGCTCTGAGCAAAGTAGGTCGTCCCTAGCTATTTTCGTTTTTCCTTGCGTACAACTGCCATGGTCTAATCTCGATTTCAGTTAGCTTCCGATTCTGAACTTTCTGTGAAAAACGGTGCGGAGCTTCTCGATCGACTCGTCAAGGACATTGTTTCGGAATCTGCTGCCTCCTACATATCAGTTTTGCAATTATCAGAGAAGCATACGGCAGACCCTGATGCGCAGGAAGAGGTCGAGCTTCCCACTGCGTTTTCGTTGGCCAAGTTCATACCCTTGCTGAAGGAACGGATACACGTCATCAGTCCATCCACGCGCACTTTCTTGGTGTCATGGTTGACCTTACTGGATACCATTCCCGACCTGGAACTTGTGTCATATCTGCCGGAATTCTTGGGAGGATTAATTGAGTTCCTTGGTGACCCGAACAGAGACGTCAATGTCACCACTCAGACTCTTCTCGACAGGTTTTTGTCCGAAATCAAGAGGATTGCACGCCTCAAGAAAGGCATAGAAGAGAGTCGCAAAGAGCAAGGAAGCGACAACAGACAGTCGGCCGCGAGTGATAGTGTCAGCACTACTACTGATCACACAGTGGCTGTGGACACTGAACGCAGTGAAAATGCTATCGAGGACTCCGAGCCCGAGTCAGACCTTGAAGAAAATGACTTGCAGGCTGACGGAGACTGGATCCCAGGGCAAGATGTTCACATCGACTATCCCAAGATTCTGGACATCCTTGTGGGGTTTGTCGATACCTCATTCGGTAAGCAACCTGAGTGGTGCATTATCCCGTAGTCGCATACTAAACACTGAGCCAGATGAGGAGATGCAGTTAACTGCATTACGCTGGATTGACAGCTTCTTCGAGATTAGCCCTGAAGATATCCTCCCCTTCGTCCCGCGTCTCTTGACACAGGTTCTCCCAGCAATGTCTAGCGGTTCAGACCAA